GGGCGTTTCTAATCAAAGGCTGGCATCAGGGAGCCACCAGTAGAGCCCACTGACCGGCAGCCATTACTATGTCTCGCAACCAAATATGGCAGAGGTGCAGGGTCAAAGGTCACACTGTCAATTATCTGGAACATCTGATATACTGAGAACTGAATCACACTTCGGTGTCTGACCCTATCCTGCATTTTGCCAATAAATATTCTCTTTAAAGTGATGATCCATAGCTTTACTGACCCTCAAATCCATCCCTCACAGGACACACCCAGCCCCAGATTCTGGACCACTTGAAAGCACATCACATTGGGCCCCCAACCCAGACCAATACAATTATCTTCCAGATTTTTTAGGGCACCTGTCACTCAAGGGCCCCTGGAATCATCCTGACTTTTCCCCCCTTAACAGTGCCCCTGCACACACACACACACACACACACACACATATACACCAGATCACCTGTCCAGATGTTTCTGCACTGCAAGATGAGACTGGAATATGCAGAGGAAACACAGGAAGAACGCGTAAAGCAACAGGTGATGCAGCCCATAAAAACACAGCAGGTATTCTGGTGTCCATTCCTGTGTGGGCCCCACTTATTGTCTGGGCTCTGGGCCCCACTTCCTGTCTGTGCTCCGCTTCCTGTTCCACTCCACTTCCTGTCCGGGCTCCGCTTTGGTGAGTTAAAAACCCGAATCCCTGCAAAGATAATGAAAGGAGCGTTGTGGCGGCATGCTTGGGCCGTTTGTTTGGTAATTAGCCCGCGCTGGCGGAGGCTAAATTATCTGTCAGATATTCCCTGAATAATGGCTTTTTGCTCCTTAAGTTTCACGATTTAATTAAATGGAGATTAAAGGGCAGCAAAAGCCAGGGGACATTTAACTGGAAGTGACTAAGGGACGGTTTCCTCCTGCCACTCGCCTTGTTATTTCCCTGCTCGCTGCCGGTTCACTGAGGGTAAATGTAGGAATAAATGTTGAGGAGAAGGTTAAATCTGCCAAGGAGGGCTTTGGATGGCGATGACAGCGCGCGTACGTGCTTACCGTATAATGCTCATTGTCTGATACACAAAAAGCCTGGGGTGGAAACCGACTTAATCATGCTAATTAGCCATTTTTTTATGTTAGAGGTGACAGCGTGAGGATGATGGGAAAATTCCACGAGCCCGTCGGTGCGATCCTGGCTTCTGCAATCGCTCGTTTGTGCACGGGTTGCGTGCGTGTTGATATGCAAAAGGTGCCCAGCTACCAGTACAGTGAGTGTGGGGGTACAGGGCCGAGGTAAACGCAACAACGGCCCGGGAGACCCAGAGGGATGTTTATAGATAAACAAGCGGCCGTAACGTGACAGAGAGCATCGCGTGTCACGCCGCTGCCGTCAGGATCACAAGCTCGCAGAATAAGCGAAACCAAACCCATTCATCTCATGACATGGGACAGCATCCCTCCGCCGAGCGTTTGTCCTGGCCAGCGGGGGGCGATGCTCAGCTGTTTTACAGAAGTTTTAGCGCCCCGAGAAAAAAAAAAGTACACTGATTAGTTCAAATTGTGTGTTCTCATTCATTTAACTGGGGCCACGGAAAACTGCTTGCGCCGTCTACCTCCCGCCACTAGGTGGGGGGGGGGGGGGGGGG